CAGAAGTAGACGCACGCTTTTATATGATTCTCGAAAACAATCCCTTTGGAAACTGAAAATGATTTGCTTTTGGGTTCGCACAAGACATGTTTCTTTTCGTACGAGCAAAGAGCACGTAAAACTGTTTTGAGAGTTGCCATCGAGAGATAATTACCAAACGCAAATAGACCTCTAGTAACGGTTTGTTTACCTCTCACAAAGTTCTAAATAGAATTCTCACGGCCTTCGAGCTGTGAGCTTTTAAAGTCGAACTTTTCGATCGCTCGCCCGATAAGCGAAGCTAGCACGTGCGAGGATGCTAACTTTTTCTTAAATTCGGCAAACCTTATTACGCGGACAAACTCCACTGGATTAAAATCTTTACAACTTTACAAAGATATGTGCAAGAAAATGAGTTTAGGTCTTTTGAAGTGTATTATATAACCTTGAGCGCTCATTTTGTCAAAAAATAAGCGGATAAGTAAAGCCCAAAGTTAGCAGAAGAGTTGGGTAGGGGATGGGAGGAGGGTAATCATAGGGATACGTTCTTCAGTATCATAACCTGAGATCAGGCGTTATTTTTTTTTTATTTTTTTATTTTGGACATAAAGGGATAATAGGGAGAGGGCATGATCTCAGGCTACAGTATCACCACCCAAATTAATACCACGCCAAGTCCTAGGGAACCTAAGCGTACGTCAATCGTGGAAGCACTGTCATATAGCCTTTCTTCTTAGAATCCATGTCACTAAGATGCTGCAGCAGATTTATATTAAAGTTTGCGCTCTGCAAGAAATTTGTTTTCCGGCCTTTGCGCCCACGCAATTTTGTTTTCAAAATTTTCCAGTCTCCAACTCCCCCCCCCCCCCCCCCCCCCCCCCCCCCCTTACCCCAAATACATTTTGTTTTTACTCACTTTAAATTCAAAGTTAGCACAAGGGTGGGATGGGGACTAGGAGGAGTGAATAGGGTGTGGTTACGAACTCTTGGCTATTTTCCAATACCCACTGAGCTGAAATAGCTGAGTGTGCTAAGGAGAAAAAAGGGAACCGTTAAATGCATTGCGTGCGAACATCAACAAGAAAAAGAAATTGTTTGCATAGGAAAACTTCTTTCCCCCACCCGGCAGAAAACAAAATTAATCACCTGGTCCGGAAGTGACAAAGAAAAGATTGCGTTACACTCACTGGACAGAGATTTACGTCTTGCGCGTAGCAATTTTTTTTTATTATACAAGAAACTAAATGAGTATCAAGAGGTTGCTCACTGAGAGGTAGATATTGCAACATATGGATTGATTTTCCGGAAAAGTGTTGCACAAGCTTAGCCTGGAACCGGGGTACAAGCTCGATGTTAAGATATGACCCTAAATTCAGCTAAATTATTCTCGGCTTGCACTGTCACGCAATGAAAAATAAAAATGCAAACCATTCAATACAGAAGGACTAGAATCTGGGAAATGAAAAAAGATAACTATACAAAAACCCTTGCCAAGAATCAGGTCTGTGAAATTTTTTAAATGCGAGATATTGGAAAAAACAGTTTACCTAAATTTATAAAGCTTTGTATGGAATCGCCATCTTGGTGTCCCTTTCAGGAACACCAATATGGCCGCCGGATACCAACAGAAACATCTGTTTTCGAGTTTTCCTACTAATGCGTGAATTCTTCACTTGAGGAACTCATAAAGATTACAGTAATATTTCTTCTGAGACAAGAAATGTTTAGATTGCAAAATCTCCCAAAATCGGTAATGTTTTTAACCCACATAGGAGCTTTCCCGGCCGCCAGCTAAATGCCGCGTCACGCGAAAGCTTGGAAATTCAAGCGTCCTCTCTCGCAAAAAGAAGAACTCTTTCGAACCAAAAATTTGCTCATGTAAAGGTGTTTAGGTACTGTAATAACTCCTGAAAGTAGAAACTCAGAAGAATCGATAGTTTCTTAGTTTGATTTTTGGTGACGTCACGTGCAACCCAAGAATAAAGCTCGGCAACAAGAAAGCAATGGAAAAATTAACTGAGAACGTCAAAATTATTTGCCTTCAAACCCGGGGGTGGTACTGCCATATATGGGCTATATAGGTATGTGCCGCTGTGAAGGGTATGGTTTTCAAGCAGTTTACCCTAGGATAGGGTATATAAATCAGAGCGTTTGGGTCTAGAATAGGGTATCATTCTTCAGGAAACTGATCAGTTGGTTGAAGATTTTATCTAGACTAGGTACACAGCTACTCTAGGATAGGGGGATTTGGGGAGTTTACTCTAGTATAGGGTAGCAAAATTCAGCTGAACTAGCTCTGGTAAAGGTTAAGGGTTCCAGGCTCCCAGCGGCACATCCCCACCCAGAAATTCCTAAAGTGCCCCCCCCGGGCCTTCAAACACCCATTTGGAAGGTAAGCTGTCATTGAAGTATTATCTCAGGTTTCCTGGGTAGTTTTAATGGGAAATGGCAGGGTTTTTCAATGGTTTGCTCAGAAAACGAGCTAAGGCTAGTCGAATTGTTTACATTTCCTGGTTAAACAAAATCTCTTCGAAAGGTCAAATTGGGTCAACTTGCATGGGGCCGCTCGCCTAAGAAATAACTTTTGCCAAGAAAAAAATTCTATCACGTTCAAAAACAACTCTTGTACTTGTTAGAATTGAATGTTGAAAGAATTCTACATAATACCGAGTATGTTTTGAGATGTTTGAAAACGGTATGGAATTTTTGATTTTCAAAGTCTAGAAATTTTTGTTCTCTTCGCTTGCTCTCCAGGAATTCGGAATTAGAATTGTAAGTCTAAAATATCATCTAAGAAGCTTAGCAATACCTCCTAACTCAAATTATAATTTAAGGAAAACCATAATTTGCTATGCGCCTTCACGGGAGTTCGATCATGAATTGGGTTATCTGATCATGAAATTTGACCTCATTTCTGTGATTTTTCGGCCTCACGGGTTGTCGACCGTTTTTCGTAATTTTCTCAAAAATGTAAAAACTCTACAACCTGAAACTTATATCACGATTCTAAGCATATCATAGGTTATCTCTGGACGAAATATCAAGGGGTCCATTTTTCCGACCTTGTGCCATATTTTTTCAATCTCACTCGTTCCCTATAGAGAGTCGCTCTTAATTATTCACTTCAAATTTTAATTTTTAACTACCCTTAAATCCAATACTTTCTCATTTTTCCATAATATTTAATATTTGCCCTTCAAACATTTATTGATTGCAAAATTAATATTCTAATAACCACCAAAAATTTCTTAAAAACTCATCGTTGCAAGAACTTCAGGATGAGTGATTTATTTTTTAAAAAAATCGAATGAAATTTTGACAAACAACTGGCGTTTAACTGTAATCCCCTCTTAAGCTCAAATATCCACATACATGGATCCTGGATCCTGTCAAGATCTTTTTTTTAATGAAATGTGCACTATATTTGACCATAATAGACTCAACTTCTAAATCTTTTTACTTTTAGTTTTAGAAAAAAGTTCATTAAAGCTAGAGGTTTCTCAAGTAGACTACCAAGATGAAAGAGTTAAAAGTAGTTCTTTCTTTCGAGTACTCATTATTTATAAGCTAAAATCCCCGAATATTTTAAGCCTTTACAAGGTATTGTCAAGCAGACGTCCTTTTGAGTAGCCTTTTATTACTTCGCTGTCGATCGGACATGTATTTAAACTGAAAACAAACCATTAGAAAAAAACCGGGATTTAAAACACTGTCATCTGAAAACACTTAATTTTTCTAAATAAAATAAAGAGATGCAAACAAAGGTAATTTATTACAAGCGTGGAAACCTTTCCTCTTATTAACATGTTATTTCTTTGCTTTGCTTGCCGTAACCTTAAAAATAAAATATAATAAAACTTCTTACCACTTCCAATTTAATTACTTACGTTGTGTCGATCTCAATTACTTCTACTAATTAGTTTCTGATATGACCACTCTATTCATGCACGTAACATGACATATTACAATATATAGCTAGTCAGAGACACTCGTATTTTTTTGCAGACCGTCCGTGCGAAGGCTGATGTGAAGTCATTTTTAGAAATACAAAAAAAAGCCTTAAGATTATGTAAAAAACAAACAAACATATATACCAAAAACCATAGCCGCACTAATTACAATAAGGCTAAATTAGAGATCCTTATCCAACCTATCAAAAATATCCACACGTTATTTATTTGAAAATTGATAAAAGTAGGGGATTTACAGCTTTAGGGTCTTTTCCTGCGTCATAGATTCAAAAGAAATATTTAAAGAAATCCCACGGCAATTACTGGCAAAAAGAAAGCTGACACGGAATTAAAACTGTCTTGCAACTGGTACGGCGGTACAAAATATTCTACGGTCTCAGTGAGATGACCAGTGAAATGTTACACGAAATACCTTTCCGACAAAGCAGTAGTATTGTCCTGGAATCGTTCATATGCTCTATACTTTTGTTGTTGGCGCTGGTTGGAAATATTCTTGTCATTGTGGTTGTGTTTAAAAATCCTCGCCTGAGCACAACAACTAGTCTTTTCATTGCTGCGTTAGCTACTACAGATCTCATCAACGTCACCATCCCTGGACCCCTTTTCCTGGTTGCTCTGATAACTGGAGAAAGGTCTTACACATCTATCGGCTGCGGAATTAGTGGCTTTTTTATGCATTTTTTAACTTTGGCCTCAGNAGACCGTCCGTGCGAAGGCTGATGTGAAGTCATTTTTAGAAATACAAAAAAAAGCCTTAAGATTATGTAAAAAACAAACAAACATATATACCAAAAACCATAGCCGCACTAATTACAATAAGGCTAAATTAGAGATCCTTATCCAACCTATCAAAAATATCCACACGTTATTTATTTGAAAATTGATAAAAGTAGGGGATTTACAGCTTTAGGGTCTTTTCCTGCGTCATAGATTCAAAAGAAATATTTAAAGAAATCCCACGGCAATTACTGGCAAAAAGAAAGCTGACACGGAGTTAAAACTGTCTTGCAACTGGTACGGCGGTACAAAATATTCTACGGTCTCAGTGAGATGACCAGTGAAATGTTACACGAAATACCTTTCCGACAAAGCAGTAGTATTGTCCTGGAATCGTTCATATGCTCTATACTTTTGTTGTTGGCGCTGGTTGGAAATATTCTTGTCATTGTGGTTGTGTTTAAAAATCCTCGCCTGAGCACAACAACTAGTCTTTTCATTGCTGCGTTAGCTACTACAGATCTCATCAACGTCACCATCCCTGGACCCCTTTTCCTGGTTGCTCTGATAACTGGAGAAAGGTCTTACACATCTATCGGCTGCGGAATTAGTGGCTTTTTTATGCATTTTTTAACTTTGGCCTCAGTGTCAACCATGGGCTTTATCGCTGTGAACCGATACTTCTGCGTGTTGAAGCCAAGCCGCTACAAAAGCATCTTCACTTTCAGGCGATCGGCTTTCTTCCTGGGCGCACTTTGGCTGTTCATTGGTGCGGTTATCGTTTTTCCGCTAATCGTTGGCTGGGCCCGTATGGAGTTCAGTCCGTCAATGGCAACCTGCAGCTTACATTTTAATTCCTTGACAAGCGAAACTGGCTTCACAATATTCGTGATGATCGTCTTCGTGTTCACCAGCTTTGTCCTCGTTGCCCTTTGTTATTTTTTTGTCTGGAAGACTCTTCGTCAGCACCGAAATCACCTTTCGAACATCCGTGGCTTGAGCGTCCAGGAACTCAACTTAACCAAAACGTTCTTCTTTCTGGTAGTGTCCTTTATCGTGCTTTGGCTACCAACTTTCGTGGTCATCGTTCTGTTTCGAGTTGTGTTGGGTGAAACTATTCCCCGCCCTCTCGCCCTCGCTGTTCCGTACGAGCTGCTAGCCAACAGTGCAGTGAACCCGTGGATATACGGTGCAATGAATCCTTCTTTTCGCAAGAAGTTGATGTCGATCCTCACGAGGGGAAGAAATAGAGTCCAGCCCATTGGAGGTTCCGTTTTTAGCGGACTCTCTAACCAGGATAGCCCACCAACAATTACGATAAACAATAACTAGCGAACGGCAAGTTGTAAAATCAGGAGCACCAGAACCGGACCCTCGACTCCGGGAACACCCCGTACGCTCCGGAACACCCAGAAAACCTGGCATGAGCAATAAGGTAAAATGAGAAACACAAATTTAAACCCTAACCCTCTGTCTGTAAAACAATTTTTGTTTTTGTTTGTTCTATTTCATTTACCAGCATTTCTAGTTGTTCCAGAGTGTTCCGGTGCTTCTGGTTTTGGTACATTCACAAGCGAACTACAAACTTGAACTTAATTGCCATAACATAAAATAATAATAACAATAACATAAATAATAATAATAATAATAATAATAATAATAGTAATAATAAAATTCAGATATATAAAAAGTCAGGCACTAGATACAGTTAACTGTTAGTTACGAACCATGAACTACAGATATATTGTACGTTAAAACAGTCATTCCCGAGTCATGTGGAGATGAAAATAGTTTTCCTTTCCTTTTTGCTCACAAAAGTCATAAACATGGTTTTCGCTTATATGTAGCATTGCATTGAGGGTAATGTGAATTGAAAAGCTCACTCTTAATAGGGAGAAAAAAATGAAAATAAACGCCTCAATTATATAAGTTTTAAAAAGTGTTAGCATTTGGTTGTACACTAGATTTATTTATAAGTTCCTTCTAAGGACGTATTGAAAGATTGATCTTTGAACACAGGAATTTAAGGGCTACAGGACCCCATTTCTTCAACAAACAGTTTTTAAATAAGGAATATCAATCATACATGGAACAATTGTTAAAGGGAAGTTTATTAGAGCGTAGAGATTTACTCATTAATCATGTTTTAGACTAGTAACCAGCCTTTCGAAAAAGGCACAGGCTTAAAAAATTGATCACTCCGTACATTCAATTCAATCAATCGACAATATAATGATATTGGGAAGTACTGAGTATATATTTCGTTTGTGTTTTCTTAACATAATTTGTCTTTTGGGTTGTCTACAATGACTTTACATGTAGCTTTCCATGAGATGTCCAACCTATTCGCATTCCTAATAAGTCAGTTGACTTTAAATAAGGTCCCCTCTGAATTATTTGACATCAACTGTCCATCTCGATTGACGAAAAAACGCTGTTCACAGGAATTCCTACCTCTCAGGCTCTTGGGATAGGCTTCCGTTTACCTGTCAATAAAATCACCGAAGTTATTGGAGTATTTACTTTCACATTATACTGAGTGCTTAAAAACAAGGGATGGGTGCACCTTATTCCTGAACATCTGGATCTGGAAAAACAAACTGCAATACTAAGCAAGACGCTTTTGCCGTATGAGGGGACGTAGCATCCAAATTCGACAAGTAACTTCTCAAACTCATTAATAATTCATAAAGAAAATACAAACGAAATTAATGTTTGATGAGTGTTTGGAAATCATCTGAAAAACTGCTCATTTTTGCATCCTTAATTTCTCCTTCTAAAATCATTTTGTTTGAGAAGTAATATCAAGCATTCGACACAGTGCCTCATCACCAGATGAAACACCTCGAAGTTCGTCAAAAATACTCCGCTGAGCGTCGTACTTTCAACTCCCTTCTCGGTGTTTCATCTGGTGGTGAAACACTCATGCGTCTCATGCTTGATATATTACGTCAAATTCAACCTCGTCCCCAGTTTCTCCTCCGTCAAACCAAGAACCCATTGGAATCCTGTGTACATTATACTAAATGGCCAATCAGTAAAATTAACTGGCATTAGCAGGGTGAAAATAAGCGGATTCCATCTGGGGGTGTCTCAGCCCTAAGCGATCTATGTAGCGCGTTCCGAAAAGTGCAGATACCTAAAACCCTAAAACGAAACGAAACGGCAATACCAATTTTTCGGCAGGTCGTGAACACTACTTTTACCTTACAGACTGTGTTTTTAGACAAAGCGCTATCGGATTTTCTCCTTCGATTCTCTTCTGGCTCTGCAGAACGACTTTATTTGTTAGCATATTTTCGTTTACTTATGCTTAATTTTAGCCCGGGGTGAAGGGCAGCTGACGTAAGGTGTATTTTTTTAAACATTTCATGGGAGATATCGTACAAAACGAACGCATTATAATTAAATTATAAAAGTTAAGTATCGTCTCATGGAAGGGAATCCAAGACAGTCTTGGATTCTGGATTCCTAGCTGTAAGTTCCGGATTCCAGTCGTCAACAGTGGAACTTGGATTCTGGATTCCAGATTCCTTGAGCCCAATTCCAGATTTCAAAGCCCAGGATTTCACATTCCACAAGCAAAATTTTCCCACATTCCAATAACGCGGTTGGCGATAAGTATGCATGTTCTCTCCCTGCCAGCCTCCATAACTTAAAGATAAATAACATTGTTAATTTAATATTATATCATATTAAAACAAAATAATAAGTTCTAACGCTGACCTGTCTTTTTAATTCTGACACTCCCATCGTCGCAGCAGCCAAAGTAACCGTCGCATGGCCGACGTTTTGGGGCGCAGATTTTACGATATTGCACTGCGTGTCCCTTGGCAATATAATAACTGTAAAACATAGCTGGATGGGATTTGGTTCCAATCCCCTGCTGATACCTGGTCACATGACTTCTAATCTTGATCCCAGAAACTTTAGCTCGTTCTAGTGATGACATGACACAGTCCACTTTGGATGTCTGGGATTCTTTTTTCGATGTTCCTTTGCTTGAGGTTTGTTTTTTCTTTAGCTTTGGACACTTCTTCCGTTTCTTCCAAGGTAGAATACAGACGGGCTTTCCTCTTTTCAAGGACCCACCTGCATTAAAATAAACCGATTAAAGCGATTCATTCATTGAGTGGCTAGTCCGACACCTTCTGTGTGTCCTTCTGACAGAAAAAAACCTATGGTAAAATCCCGGATCGCAAAACCCAGCTGGCCGGAATTTGAGAAAATGCAATTTAACCTTTTGTTTTCTTAAGACAAAAAAATCATCCATTACACGGCACAAACACGACTTCATTATTACAAATGTTTTGGTTTTTATGTGGTATTACAGTGAAAACGAAAAACAACTACCTGTATCATAAATTCTCCTGGGCCAATACAATCCACAGATTTAGTATTCAACTGGTTTCCTCCAATTGGAATTTGTTCCTGAATTACTTATCTTATCCTCATATCATAGGTCGTACAATTTTTTTTTGTTAGTTTCTTAGTCATTTCACAAAAGACTAAATAAACTATGTAAGGGAATGTTTCCTTTGTGGTATGCGAGTCTTGTATTGTTGAAACGAACCGAACTGTCTAGATTAAGCGGTGCAGATATAGATTTCTCTGTTTGTGGTAGTTTTGTTTTGATTTTAACTGTAAACAGCGAGATTAGCCAGTAGGAGGGGAGTGTTCGTTTTGTGTTCTTTTGATCTGAAATTCTTTGTTGCATACGAATACCCAGGAAAAAATCGAAACAAAATTATAAAGTTATAACTGACAGAACATTTGAAATACCGCGGTTCAAACCTAGTTCGGAAATGCCTTGCCAAACAGACGGAAATAAATAATACATTAATTAAAAACAATTTGAAAACCCAAAAGAAATAATATGCTTCACTTAATTTTTCGCCTTTCATAAGACTGCCACTAAGGCACTTTTTCATCTATTAATTTTCATGACATATGCTTACAAACATGATTGCTAAGCAAATGTTCGTCTTACCAGTTTCTGACTTTTCCTTGGAAAATGTTTCTTCCGGGCATCCATAATATCCATCGCAGACCATACGATTTCGCATCCGATACGCCATTTTGCTCACATTACAGGAAAACCTTCTTGCCAAGCCGGAGCTCAGAAGTCGAGTAGTTTGCGTCCCCGACTCCATAAATTTCTCAGTTTTTTTCCAGAGCGGAAATGTAAAATATCGTGTCTGAATCTGATTCTCAAGCGTTAAGTTTCCAGAGTACAAAAGAAAGAGGCGCGAAGCTCTTCGTTCAGAATCAGCTGCTTCCGATTTACATGCAGAATATTCATTTTCCATTGGTAATTGAGATTCATAAACAGAAAAATAACTCGGAATGAAACTTTGGCGTCGCACTATCAACATATGTCCATGGCCATAACAATTTGCCAT